TACCAGATCTCGTGACCGGTCGGGCCGATTGAGTTCAAATTTGGTACACCGCTAGAGAGCGGTTAGTAGGGTGCCGTGCGCAAGTCAGTTAGTATGTATTTCCATGTGCCCCGGTTGGGGTGCAGCTGCACGTGCGCACGTGCAGGGTGACACTTTCTGATCTCGAGAACGGCCAGGCCGATTGAGCTCAAATTTGGTACACCGCTAGAGACCGGCGAATAGGGTGCCGTTTAAAAGTCAGATGGGACCATTTTGCACGTGCGCACGTGCAGTGTGTCGCTTTCAGATCTCGAAAACGGCCGGGTCGATTGCACTCAAATTTGGCACACCGCTAGAGACCGGTTAGCAGAGTGCAGTGCACGTCAGTTCGTAGCACACCCACTCCGATCTGCACGTGCAAGGCTCATCCTCTCGTTTGGCGGGTGGCGTTTTTGCGGCGTTACAGAGGTGCTTGCTCAAACAACCTGCGGTCCCGCGATGCGGAGCCCAGCATCGCAGATGCTGGTACCATGAATAACCGCAGGTTGTTTCTTCATTGACAAACACTATTCGTTAGAATTGTGTTTTTCTATTGAAAAACAACCGGGGCGGTCCTTCTCCGGGCTATGGTTTGCATACTTGGCCTGAGATTGGGGCAACTTGGGTGGGGCCTAAACGAATCGCTCAATTTCCGTAAAAAGTTCAGGGTATGGGCTGCCGGAGGCGATCTACCTGATGGCACCGGTCGCTACTCGCTCAGAATTCTTTTGCGCGTGGCACGTGCGATTCCATTTTCCCCATGTTAAGTCAACGGGGTTTTGGACACTTTTTTCGCGATCGCGAATTGCGGAAAAAATCGCGGATCAAGGTATGGTTTGCTGCACACCATTTTATGACCGACACGTTCAGGTACACGCCCGTGTGCGCCGTATACCCGTCAAAATTCGTTAACTTGAGTTGCACGAGTTTGAAGATGAACTTTTTTTGCTCCCCATGCTAAGTCAATGGACGTTTTTGCAGAGACATTTTCATTCGTTCATTGCACAAAATTATATGATACGATTTTGTTTAAACTTTCAGGACCTGTTGAGAAACGACCATAGAACATGTTGTTTTGCTTCGTTATGAAATATAATGGCCCATTTTGGGGTAATCGGCACGTGCATTTTCCCATAGAGTTAACATGGGAAAAATTTAAAATGCGATTTGCGAAAAATTTCGTCAATTATATTTGCTGATATTTTTAGGGTCGGATCTCGGGCTGGCACCACAACTGACGGTGGTAATTATTTAAAATATAATTGACAAAATTTCGGGTAATCGTCACAAACAGTTACCCCATGTTAAGCCTATGGCGAATTCGAAAAATTATTTTCAAATCGATTTTGCAAAAAATTTCCACGTTAGATTTTGAAAATGTTCCAATATGTTGTGCCCCGGGGTGTCGGCTACCACATGGTATGGGCCAGATATGGGGCGATTGAAAAGCACGTGCCACGTGCAAACGTGTTTGATGGGGGAACCTCGTGGAAAATCCGACATTGGCCTACTCGGGGTCCTATGGCGTGGAAACGACTTCAACTAGCGACACCAAATCAGTGCAGCCGGTGAGCAGATGAGTCCAGCTTGTCGCAATAGTGGTCACGTGTCGCACGTGCTATTGCACGTGCCGTGGCACGGGGTCAATTTTGGTGCTTAAATATACTAGCATTGTGAAATGCAAGGAGTGGGGGAAATAGCCGTCAGGCCGTCAGTTTTTATGATAGGGTCGATCTGAAAATGGGTTTAGGCACAGAATGAAGGGGGATACAAAACTGCTATCTCGGATTTTTTGTAAAATGAAAAATTTAAAATTCTGGGGAAATTATATATTCGGAAGGTGAAATTTCCCTAAATTTTCCCGTTTTTCGAGTTTAGCCGTCCACTGTTCAGAGACGGTGACACCGGCCGGGGTCATCTTTTACATGCTGATGGCCACGTCGATGGGTCATCACGTGGCGTAAACGGTGAAGCTATCAGAGGTCCGGCACGTGCCACGTGGCCACGTGTTTGAGTCGCGTACCTCCCAGATTATCGTGTGTTTGCCGATTTGTGGCCTTATAGCACGAAAACAGCACAAGCCAGGAACACTGAAATGGTGCAATCAGTGAGGGGACAAGTCCTGCTTACACCACCGGCGGTCACGTGGCACACGTGCAGATTTGGGCACCTCCGTTGCGGAGATATTTTATTGTGAAATATTCAAATGAACATAACTTTGTCAGTTTAAGTCCAATTGGGCTAGACTTTGGTGGGTTGATGAATTGTTAAGCGACATGAACGAATGCGGCACGTTTGTTGCAGTGCGCCACGTTTGTCTCAAAGCGCAATTTTGGCCACAAAGTGCAGAATGTGCGTTATTTTGTCGAAAATTGGACGATTAGGATGCGCTGTAATTAAGGGATGGCTGCTTAAACGGTAGATATGAATGCACCACATTTGCCGCAGGGCGCCATATTTGTCTTAGTGAGCCAGTGTTTGCGTTTTGCCTACGGCGGGCGTTTTTGCGGCGGTGTTTGCGTTTTTTCGGTGTTTGCGTTTGGCGGCGGGCGGCCGTTTTTGCGTTTTTTGCGGTGTTTTTGTTTGGCGGCGGGCGGCCGTTTTTTGCGGCGTTTTGCGGTTGGCGGTGGGCGGGCGTGCGTTGCGGGCGTTTTTTTGCGGCGGTGTTTGCGTTTTTTGCGTTTTTTTTTTGTGTTTGGCGCAGGGCGGGCGGGCGATGCGGGTGTTTTCCGGTGTTTGCGTTTGGCGGCGGGCGGCCGTTTTAGCGGTGGTTTGCGGCGGGCGGCCGTTTTTTGCGGCGTTTTGTAGTTTGCGGCGGGCGGCCGTTTTTTTGCGGGGTTTTGCGGTCGCCGGCGGCCGGGCGTTATTGGCGGTGTTGCGGTTTTAGGCGGGCGGCCGCGTTTCGCGGCGTTTTGCCTTTGGCGGCGGGCGATTTTTTGTGGCGGTGGTATTTGCGTTGTTTGCGGTGTTTGCGTTTTGCGGCGGAGGGCGTTTTTGCGGCTTTTTTTGCGTTTTTCTGCGGTTTTGTGCCTGCGGGCGATTGTTTTTTTGCGGCTTTTGCGTTGCGTTTTGAGCGTGCGTTTTGCGAGTTTTGCGGTTTTGCGTTTTGCGGCGGGCGGTACAGAGGTGCTTGCTCAAACAACCTGCGGTCCCGCGATGCGGAGCCCGGCATCGCAGATGCTGGTAATATATGGTGTTATGGAATATCCGAAGGTTGGGACTTTTCAATTAAGAACAATCACTATTTGAGCGTGCGTTTTGCGAGTTTTGCGGTTTTGCGTTTTGCGGCGGGCGGTACAGAGGTGCTTGCTCAAACAACCTGCGGTCCCGCGATGCGGAGCCCGGCATCGCAGATGCTGGTATCCACCGTCTTTGCTGTAGGGTGGGGACTTTTCCTTAGTTTCAAAATCAGAAGAAAAAAAGGACTTTGAAAAAAGTGATGTGTTAAGAAGGCACTGCACCACATGCATGCCTTTCTCAGCAATATGCATCACTTATTGGTTGCTTCACTTCACAGAAAAAGAAAACTGAAAATTGGTTTACAAATGGATGAGCAGCACACATTTTAACATTTTTCTAGCAATTTATATCAACTCACCACCCCATATCAACTCACCCCGGTTTACGGTTTGTCCGTAACCATTGATTCACCACTTTCTCTAAAAAAGAATTATCATGTTAATGTTTTAAAAAATGTGATGTTAAAATAACATCATATATGATTATTTATCCATATTTATTTACATATGTACATATTTTGTCAAAGGTGTAGACCATACGCCTGTTCTGGACGAGCGCTTTCAGAGAGAAAATCGTGGTCGTCTGCGGCATGAAAAAGGCACTGGCCTGACGACACTTATGGAACTCATCCTATCTCTCATGCTCAGAGACCATGCCTATCCTTTCAGCACAGTATCGATAAGGACACTAGCGCTACCGATTTATTTTTTTATTTACTTTGTTGGGTTAGGCCCTTTCGGTCTGACAAGACCATTTCAGAGCCGGAAATATGATAGGAATTAGGGGGAGACATTGGTCTGGGTAGACACCCTAGTGATTGGCTGGGGCTGAGCCCGTGCGAATAGACAGGCCGACCAGACCCCTCCCCCCCTCTCCCCAAGGTACTCCCTGCACCCGGCTACCGGGTGCGCTCCCTCAGGAGCAGCCCGCATGAGATAAAGGTGCCTGTCCAGCCCGGAGTGGGGTTTGAAGCGTGAAGAAGGATTTCAGTATCCTGAGGATGGAAACGACGGAACGGAGGGCGCTATTGACTCTCGAAGATGACAATGAACGGTGAGCCCCGTCTATTGAGTCCCTTGCAGCACGACGCCACCGCCACCTGTCGTGAATACACATCAACTGTAGTGGCAAGGACAGCTACAGATGTCCGCAGTCACGCCGGGTACGATCAGGAACGGGCACCTGGCCGACTGTACCGGGGAATGATCGGCTGTACCGGGGAATGGGAGGCTGATAACACTAAGCAAGTGAGCACTGGAAATTGACTACTGAACATGAAATGCTGCCAATAAGCATGCATGTACTGTGTAGAACACTGCACAGTTGTGCATAAACTGTCGGGTGCAGAAAGCGTAGGTAAGTGATATGTCCTCGTCGAAAGAGCCAATTTTAATCAGGTATACCATTGGTAATGTTTCACTCTCAGGAAAAATAGCACACTTTTTGCAAATACCTATCTAGCATAATAGCACGGACAAGACGCGGACTTACGATACATTCGCCGCTTTGCTAAAACTCTCAGTCTCAACAGAGCCAGAAAAAAAGACACTGTTAGGAAGTCCTCCCTCGGGCCCTCTACCTGAACAAAAAAAAAAAACATTTGCTTATTTCTTATTTCACTCTCCTCACTTCTCTTGCCAGCATCACGCAGTCCAACAACCGACCGATGGCGTCACTCTCTTATGACGTCATCACGATTGTCGTATGACGTCAGCGCGGCGCCGGAGGCAGTCGCCCGCCGACGGCGTTAGTGGCGTACCAGAGGGTGGGCGACTAGGTCCCACACTTTTCGTCGGTCTCGCACTGTGGCGTCGGGCTGCTGCGCGCGACAGGCAGGATACCTCGGGGACCAAGCTGTGTTTGAACAGTGACGTGATACGTTCTCGGGAAGATTTGTGACGGATATTTGTGTGGATAGCTGGCGGTGCACAATGTGAATGTGGCGTGCGTGAGGGAGATGATTGCCACGAAGAGCTGAATTCCTACGAATTTGTAAGTGCGACCACTTCTTTGCTTACTGTCCGTATCGAAAGGGTCGTAGTTTCCCACGTTACACAACGACAATGATATCGATGCGGGAATATCAAGCGATAAAAACCGAAGCCCCGGGTATTTCACAGTAGACGATGTTTATCAAGTCAGATGGTGACGGGCTTTGAGCTATCTTACAAATGCAGCAAACGTCATAGTACCTACCTTAATTTATCACTACCCCATGAATTTTAATTCAAAGTTTTACCGTACCGTAATAACCCGAGACAGGGTTTTAAACCCGCGCCATGCTCCAGTGAGAAAGTGTTTCGAATTCGCCTGTTAAGTTTTTTTTTCTTGATATCTTAAAGCGTGTTTGGTAAACATTTACAACTTTGATATTCAAAAAAGAAGTGGCTCGGGCGTGGTATGACCTGGATGGGGTGGGTGCAGAGTGACAGACTACAGAGGGTCAGCCACAGCTCGAACGGTCACCCCGGAGGGGTGAGATCATTGTTCATTTTGGAACGATCGGTTATCTGGTGGGTGTGACAGTGCAAGGGTGGCACCCACCCCGAACTGCACGTGAAATCCGCGACACAAGATAAAATGGTCTGGAGATTGGCTCTAAATAAATCCCGAGAAGAATATTAGTTGTTCCTTAAAACTGAAAAAGGCAACGAAGATACTGTAGCTCCATCCACCGATGGCCAATTTATGTTTTCAGAAGTGAGCCGATTGCTTATAGATCGCTGTCTAGTGCCTAACCACGGTGTTGAACATCGGTCTGGTATTTTGGAAAGGTCACTGATTGATGATGCCTCTGATAGACGTTCAACCAAACTGTACACCATGAAAATATGACACAGGCAACCAATTACTTGCAAAACTACCTATAATGACAGCCCAGCAAAGCTCTGGTGCGCACATGCGCACTGTGCATGTCCATGTCATTTTTAACATTGAGGTGTTTATATTTGCTGACGTTTCTACAGAATATTGCCCTTCGCCTGTCACTTTAATCCACTGCACAGCACAAGCAACTGACACAAGGAAACCAGCTCATCTTGTAGGATAGGGGCTTAAGATATGAGGTTTATGAGGGTTAAGGAAAGTCCCAGCTTCGGATTGTTCATCGACCATCTGCATGATTGCTAAAAATAGCACGACCTTTCTTATACCGTTGTCAGTTGTGAGCCGCACCGTTCCATGTTCTGAATATCCTTTTTTGTACTCCTAGACTCTAGTTTTGAGTGATAAGCATCTTTCAAAATTGATCCAATATGCCATCCATTTCCCTTTGTTCTCAAGTTTGAACACTTGAAAACGTTTTATTTTAACACGGTGATGATTAAAGTTGCAATAAGAATGAATAATGACCTTATGCTCATAACTAAGGAAATCAAAAACAAGATGTGAAAATTGGATTTGTTGTTGGCTTTCTTCAGTTATGAGCAAAACGCTGTATTTATCGTTATTACCCTTTGTTCTCCATCATTCTTCCTGTTTTGCAGTTGCATCACGTCCTAACGAACCGACAGGGGAGATGATTGATCGCCACCCGTACCCTCGCGTGATATTGCAGGTCTTTCCAAAGGTCACCCAGACAGCGGGGTGAACAAAGCAGGAGCGCTGTCGTGTCGGAATCGCGTCCACTTCAGGTGGTGCTTTCAGAAGAGCGCTGCTACTACACACCAGATATTTGTCGAAGACTTCATGACAGACACCGCTGATCCTAAGGGCCAGAAAGTTGATGAAAGTCAGGTTTAGTGGTGTCAACAAGCGTAAACAAGCCTTGTTAAACCTTCGGGGGCTTCCGGCTTAGAGCTCAGTGGAATAGTGTTACGGAGAGCAAGACATCAACTGATTTGCAGATTTCATCGTGAAAGTGACTCTGAGACCTGACATCACAAGAAAGATCCTGCGCTCCGCCGGGAAACCATCGACGAGCAGTGGTGACCTCAAGTGGTTCTAGCCGGACCTGGGAGACATTAATGCTGTGAGATCGGCCAGGATAACTAGAAACTAAGCATCTACAGCACCTCCAACAGCCAGTGACCATTTCTAGCCGAAAAGTCGGAACGATTTCCGAGAAGAACCGAAAAGTCTAGCGATCTCAGTATGCATCAGTAAACGGTCTCCGGTGTCCTTGGCATCTTGTGCTACTTCTACGCCGACCTAGAACTGTATCGCGACAACAGGAACCATCTGCACAATGACTGCTGACGTCAGCACCAGAACTGATGACGTCACGGTCGAGGCCGCGCCCGA